GTTCCGGGGTCTCCCGGCATTCTCCCAGCGACTCTCTGTCAGATCCAGTCACCAGTTGACAGGAGACCGGACCCGGAAATGCAGACAGAGGACAGACTCCGTCATGGCGGCCTCCGACACAAAGCCCGCCAACACTAACGTCCGCCCCCGCCGCTCTATTTGTACGTCTGATTGGACAGCTTTCACTCAGTGGTCCCTGATTGGACAGGGCTTCAGGTCCTTCCCCCCTCGGAGTGTTTGCCTCACAGATTTTTAAGACAGGGCTTCCTTTCAGTCTTGGGGCATACAGTTAGTACATATGTCACGGTAACTTATGAGTTATATGTACTTTTTCAAATGGACTAAGTAGAATGAGGCTTATATTTATTTTCCATAACTTTTCTGGTCTGCATTAAGGTTTTGTAACTTCTCTGCAGAAAAAACGAAGAAATTCTTCCTCTGTCCTCTCTTCTTCCCTTCCTCATCTATTTAATGTTTATACAGCACTTGTGTACTAATGGATATTATTTTGTTATCTGAAATATAATCCAGTACTATCATAATTTCTTTTCTTGGGCAAATAGGACCACTGAGAGGTCTTTCAGTTTGTAAACGTTTACTTCATCCTTTTAAAAAATAATTTCTGTATATATGTGTGCATATGTCTGTGTATGTATGTATGTGTGTACCTACCTGTATATGCAGAGGTCAGAAGAGGGTGTCTGATTCCTAAGAGCTAGAGTTACAGGTTGTTTGTGTGACTCCTGGCATGTTACATACTTTTGAGATCTGATCTCTGGTTCTAATGATTGCACAGCAAGTGCTCTTCACAATTGGGCCATTGCTCCAGCCCCCATTTTTTGTTTTTTAAAGTACATTCTTATCTTACATTCTGGCTTTACAAAATACTCTGGGCTTATCCTACATTTTCTACCCCCAGCACTAGACTCAACCACTTTCAGAAGCAGCATTGATTCCTCTTCTTGAAGGGACATCTATGATCAATAAATTTATCTAGAAGTGATTATCATAGATTCTTACTGAGTTTCCTGTGATCCTGTTCATTTCTGCATTCTCTCCTTTTATATTTGTAACTGCTTGTAATTACAGTGTGAAAGTGGCCTCTAATTAACTAAACGTATTTACTAACAACAGCACCTTCAGAATTGCTGTCAATCACTATTAGACAAATGTTTTTAAATGACAGTACAATATTTTTGCACATCAGAGCTTCTTAAATTTTTTCCAATCATGACTCTTTTTCAAACAGAAAATTCTTACACAACCCTGGGTATAAAGCTCTATAAAATAGGTATACAAGTCAGACATTTACTGATAAGAAATCAAAAACTTATTTTAAAATAATTCTTTAGTATACCTACTTTTCCATTTACTAAAGATGATAAGGAATTTACACAGAGTGGGCTTGCTTAGTTGCTCATAAATCTTAGCTGAATATTTATTACTGCAGGACACAAATATCGAGGTTTTTCAGAATTGATCAATATTTTGATTTTACAGTCATCAATGGTGATAGTGCCCCTTTGCATAAATATGCAGTGCTAAATGGCAAGAGTATGTTTATGGTCTAAGATAGTTAATTTCCACTGTAAACTTGCCTGGATTTGGAATCAAGTACTTAACACACCTCTGGGTATCTCAGTGAGGGGTTTCCAGTATGGTTTTTATTGTTGTTGTTGTTGTTGTTGTTGTCTTTTTGAAGCAGGGTCTCCCTGTAGCCCCAGCTGTCCTGGAACTCACTATGTAGACCAGGCTGGCCTTGAGCTCACAGAGATCTGCCTGCCTCTGCCTCCCAAGTGCTGGGACTACAGGCGTGAGCCACCACGCCCAGCTTCCAGTATGTTTTAACTGACACTAAAAGACTAGCCCTGAACATGTCTAGTACTGTACCATGGACAGGATATAAACTGAATAAAACAGAGAAAAGGAAAGGCTATCTAGGAGCCATTATTCCTACCAGCTTCCTGACTGTGGAGACAATGTGGCTATCTGCCTCACATTCCTGCCCCCCAAATCTTTCCAGGAATGATGGACTCAAAACCATGAGCCAAGGCTAAATTTGCCCTTCCTTAAGTTGCTTTTGTAAGGCATTTTGTCATACACACACAAACATACTACAGGGCCACATCAGTTGTTGAAAATCCTTCAAAATGCCAAGTCAAAATTCATTAATTTTTTTTTATCACACTAAGTCATGGCATACACCTTTAGTTCCAGCATTTGAGAGACAGAGGGATATCTGTGAGTTCCAGGCAGCCAGGCTACACAGTGAGACTCCCTCAAACAAACAAACAACCCCTCAAGTCAGTAACTAAACATTTTTTTAGCTGTTGATCTTGGGGGACAGAGGTTTTAGAATGCACATAGAGTTACTGTTAGGAAATAATAGAATCATCCAATAAAATCAAGCAAATGAAGTATTTGGTACTAATTTTACACAATTAACACCAGTCACGTCATTAATGCTAAAGATACAAGAAACCATTTTTTCTTTAAGTGCTCAGATTGAACCCAAGGTCCTGTGCATGCCAGGCAATATCTAACATTGAGCAGCATCCCCAGCCCAGGAAAACATTTTCATTTAGTTTTTTTTTTAATATATAACACCTATAGCTCTATAGCAATGTTTTTGTTTTTTCATATCAAGCCTTCAATCCATTTTCAGCTAACAATTTTTTTTTGCCTTTTTGAGGCAGAGTCTCCCTGTAGCCCCAGCTGTCCTGGAACTCACTATGTAGACCAGGCTGGCCTTGAACTCACAGAGATCCATCTGCCTCTGCCTCCCAAGTGCTGGGACTAAAGGCATGCGCCACCACACCTGACCTCAGCTAACAATTTTTAAAATCAAACAGTCTAACAAAATACAATCCAAAGCCATACAAATTCAATACATGTTGAATAATGATAGAGAAATATTAAAAATTAACTTTCAGTAATTTCCTGGAGACAGGGTCTCCTATTGAACTAAGGTTCATGGTTTCAGTTAGGTGAGCTAGCCAGAGAGCTCTCAGGATCTACCTATCTGTACCTACCAGTATGGGGATTACAGGCATTTCCACCACCCATGGATTTAAACTCAGGTCTACACGCTTGTAGAGCAAGTGTTCTTACCCACTGAGCCATCTCTTCATTCCTAGAGTTCTTCTATCTGACATAACATCATGATGGATTTTGTTGTTTTTGAGACAAGGTATCACTATGTCCTTCAGAATGGACTTGAACTCTGAACTCATTGATCTTCCTGCCTCCATCTCCCAACTAGCTGGTACTACATGGATTGATATTGTGCCCAGTTATCCTTGTTAACTTTTTTAAATGAATAGAGTGAAATCCATTATTTACAGTACATAATTCAGTGTTTGACAACTGTATAATCATGCATCAACCTCCAGAGTTTCACACACAGGGTCAAGTTCCCTCACCTTGAACTTTCTCTCATGGTGCCCCTTATTGGTCAATCTTTCCTCATCTGACCTGCAGCAACCACAGAAAGTTACCAATAGCAACATCGTAGTTTGTTCTACAATGTCATATAAATAAAATCACATAAGAAAGAGCCATTTAGATCTTACTTTCTTCATTTCAAACATACATTTAATCACATCAATGCTATGGAGTTAATCAATAGTTGTTTCTTTTTTGTTGGGAGGTAGTTTCCAGTTGTTTGGGTACAACTGCATGGAACCTGCAGAAGGACATGCGATTCTGGCAACACTGTACTAAGTGGTTATAAACTTGCCAACCAGGTTTTTGTTGAATGTTAAATTTTCATTTTGTTTCTGTACACACATATAGAATATTTGGGGAACACAAGAACTAGATTAGTTCTTGTAAAGTATTTGTTTTACAATGCTTGAGATCAAACCCAGGGCCACACACATTCTTGGAAAGCACATTACCATTGTGCTGTATATCAACACCCCTACTAAACATTTTTGGTAAACATACCCCTGTATATTTTGCATTCCCTTATATTTGCTTCAAGTGCCCACTAATATTTTTTCCCTTATAGTTGCTTCAAATTCCCATTAATAGCTGGTATTTTCAGTTATAATTTTCATTTTTGCCCTTTTAATAAGCTATTGGCATGTAAATAAGACTTCCACTTTGTTTTGGAAAGAATACTCTGATGTATTGGCATTTGTCTTTTCTCTCTATAGTTAAAAAAGGCAACTTCATTTTTCATTTCTATTTTTTATTATGAATTTATGGAATTTACATCTCCTTATACATGTACTGATTTTGCTTGATTCTTTCCTGGTTTTATGTTAATCTTTGGATGTTAGCAGTTTGATTATGGTTTGCCTATATTTTATGTGTTTTATTACTGTCTTTGTTAATCTTGTGTTCACATTTTTCAATGGTTTAAAATATATTCAGTACTTCATGTATTGGGCATTTGTTTCACAATTAGTGAGCTTTTAAGCTTCTGAGATATACATCATGTAAATTATGTACATAGAAGTAGAGTCACACAAATAATGGTTTTCAAAGAGGTACAAGTAGAACAGGATGCCAGTAATTTATACTGTCACTAGACACATGTGCACAACACATTCCCAATATAAAAAATTTGTAGAAAAATTTATTTTACACATATACACAGCACTATATTCATATCTAATGTGCAGATAAACATCTTATATGAACATATAAAATGTAATGTTACTAATATAGAAAATACCAATTTATCTTAACAGAAACTTTTGCAAGTGGTAGTACTTTTCTAGATCTATTAACTTTCCTCATTGGAACAATTCACTATCTTTGACACTTGTAAACCCTTGGTACTACTGCTATGGTTATATATTACACAGTAAAAGGTATTTTGTTGAGATAATAAAGGTTATTAGTCATCTGATCATAAAATATGGGTACTAGGAACCAACTCAGGTCCTCTGCAAGAGTAGTACAAGCTCTTAACTTCTGAATCATCTCCTCTGACCCTTTGCCACATTCTTTACATTTGTCATGTTTCCCTCATGTATGAGTCTTTTGATGTCTAGTAAAGGTTGAACAATTATTAAAGGCTTTCCCACACTCTTTGCATTGATAAGGTTTTTCTCCAGTATGAATTCTCTGGTGTCGAGAAAGTGTTGAGCTGTCATTAAAAGCTTTGTCACATTGTTTACACTGGTAGGGCTTATCTCCAGTATGAATCACCTGGTGTCGATAAAGGTGTGAAGAACAATTAAATGCTTTGTCGCATTCTTTACACCTATAGGGTCTCTCTCCAGTATGAATTCTTTGGTGCTGATTAAGATGTGAAGAACAGTTACAAGCCTTGCCACATTCTTTACATTTGTAGAGGCTGTCTCCAGTATGAATTCTCTGATGTTGATTGAGGTATGAAGAACAATTATAGGCTTTGCCACATCCCTTGCATTTGTAGGGCTTCTCAGCAGTATGACTTATCCGATGTTGATTAAGGTGTGAAGAACAGGAAAAGGCTCTACCACACTCTGTACATCTATAGGGTTTCTCTCCAGTATGAATTCTCTGATGTTGGTTAAGGTGTGAAGAACAGTTAAAGGCTTTGCCACATTCTTTACATATATATGGTTTTTCTCCAGTATGGATTCGCTGATGCTGATTAAGTTGTGAAAAACAGCTAAAGGGTTTGCTACATTCTTTACATCTATATGGAATCTCTTCAGAATGAATTTTCTGGTGTTGGTTAAAGTATGAAGAACAGTTAAAGGCTTTGTCACATACTTTACATTTGTAGGGTTTTTCTCCTGTATGAATTATCTGGTGTCGAGTAAGGGTTGAACTATTATTGAAGGCTTTGCCACATTCTTGACATTTATAGGGTTTTGCTCCACTATGAATTATCTGGTGTCGAGTAAGAGTAGAACGATTATTAAATGCTTTGCCACATTCTTTGCAACTGTAAGGTTTCTCTCCAGTATGAATTATTTGGTGTTGGATAAGGGTTGAATATTTATTAAAGGCTTTCCCACATTCTTTACATGTGTAAAGCTTCTCTCCCATATTAACCCTCTGATGTTGATTAGAGGTTGCATCATCAATAAAAGCTTTGCCATGTTCTTTATGTTTGTAAGACTTCTCTTGAATATGGACCCGATGCATGGTAAGTTCTGAATGTTGTTCAAAGTTTTCTCCAGATGTGTTATATTTGCAAAGGTTCTCTGGAAAAGAATACACTGAAGTTTACTAGGATTTCAACCATGGTTAGAGTTGTGAATTTTATTGCAATGACAAGTTTTTCTCTCCAATATAAATATCCTATTTAGAATACAACCCTCACTAATTGCTTTCTTATTTTCATTACACATATACTAAATTTTCTAAATATACATATGCAGGTTTTCGTTAAGAAGAAAAATGGATTGGTGAGCTAGTATCACCAATTGGTGGCTCACATCTATAATTCTGGCATTTGGGAAGCTGAGGTTTGAGAACTGTCAGGAGTTCAAGGCTAGCCTGAGCTACATAGCAAATTCCAGGATAGTATAAGCTACAAAGTGAGAAGCTGTGATCAATCAACCAACCAATCAATCAATCAATCAACTGAATTTCCTACATTGACTAAATGCGTACCTTTTGATACAGGAAGATTCATTTGTTGATGGCAGAATGAACAATTAAAGAGTCCAATCAATCATATTTAGAAATGTTTCATTGTGTGTGGGGGTGGTGGTGAGTGTAGTGTGTGTGGTATATGGGCACATGTATGTGCAGGTGCATGTGCCTATGTGCACAGAGGCCAGAGGAGGGCATTGGTTATTCTCTTCTATCACTCTCTGCCTGTTTCCTTTGAGGCAGAGTCTCTCCCTGAACCTAGAGCTCCTGATTCTTAATTTTTAAATCTCTTTTCAACAGAATTTTTTAAATAAAAGTTTAGTCCAATATTATATTTGAAATTGCTGAAGATATTAAATCATGGATCAGGCCCTTTGGACAAGGGTTTTATTTCAAAAAGTGATTATATATTTACCTATACAAACTCATCACTCTTTAACAGTAACTGCCACAAACTGAGTTATTTTCTGTGATGCTGTATGCTCTTAATCTGATAGCAGTGAAGTTTTTGTTGTGGACAGTTGTAACACATTATGTTCATTATACCAAGCTTTCTGAACTTCACATTCCCATTCGTCCTTAATGAGATTGTCAAGGCTATCATCTCTACTACTTCCACATTTTGGAAGGAATGTTTTTTATCCTGTACTCATGAAGAGCTTTAGGTGTAATGAGAATATACCATTGTATATACCATTGAATATAGCATTGTAAGAAATGAAAACAACAAATTATCACCATTACTATAATCAGGTTAATAGTTTACAAATCTAAGGATCAACACATTCTAAGCTGGGCACATCAACAGGAAAGGAGAATAGTAAACAAAGGGCTATCATTTTTCTACAGGTTGTGAAAACTAACTCAAAGATAATGACCAATTATCTTCCTAAAAAATCCCCAAACTATTGAAGAGTCCAAAGAAACCCAAGTGAGCAGAAAAATTAAGGTCACAGGAACAAAAACCCTAAGGTCCCATATTAGATGAAAGGAAAACTTGTTACTTTTACCAATCTGAGTTCTTCTCCCTCATAATACAATGCTCTTTGATAAAATAAAAAAATGATTAGGGGGCTGGAGCTGTGGCTCAGTGGGGTGAGAGCACTGGCTGCTCTTACAGAGGACACAAGTTCAGTTCTCAGCACCTGCATAGCAGCTAACAACCATCCCTAACTCCAGTTCCACGGGATCCAACACCCTCTGCTGGCCTCCACAGGCACTGAACACATGGTACACTTATATACATGCAGGCAAAATAATCATACATGTAAAAAAATTTTTAATAAAAAAATTAATAATATTTTAAACCAGCTGGCTGTGGTGGCACATGCCTGTACACATAGCTGGAGAGGTCATAGATCTTAGAAAAAAACCCAAGGTTGTCACATCCTTAGACAAATGTAATTTCTTACTATATGAAAAATATGAATCCTTAAATTTACAGACAAGTATCCCCATCACCATCCATCAAAGAAGCTTCTTTTTCAACAGACAGAGATTATTACAGAGTTCCACAAGTAGTCATACACAGGGATTCTCTGTGAATTGCCCAATCCTAAGTGGCATATCTAAGATGCAACCTCCACACCTAAGGCTCACAGAACATAGAACAAGGGATAAAGAGTACACTAATGCATTTTTCTAATTCTCATCAATGAAGCTCCCTCATGCAACAGAGGGCCTGAAACACAAAATATCACAAATGGCCAAAATGTAAAGAATAGGAATCTACACAGTGTGGGTCCTTGGACATGCTAAAATCCACCCACCCAGGGCTCAGGGACCATTATGGAAGAGGGGGCAGAAAGACTGTAAGAGCCAGGGAGGAGATGCATGACTATATAGAAATAGAGTCCTACAGGCTCCTGGGACCCTTATATGAACCTACAGCAATGGTATCAACATGCACAAGACACATGCAAAATCAAGCAGACAAAAACCCAGCACAGAACTGTGGAAATGGACAGCAGGCCCTAATCTTAGTCAAAGAATTATTGACAGATGATTAGTGCTGGGTGAAGAAGAACTAATCTTTTTTATTTTTATTTTTTATTTATTTTTTTTGTCTTTTTGAGACAGGGTCTTCCTGTAGCCCTGGCTGTACTGGAACTACGTAGACCAGGCTGGCCTTGAATTCACAGAGATCCACCAGCCTCTGCCTCCCAAGTGCTGGGACTACAGGCATGTGCCACCATGCCCAGCTTTTGAACTAATCTTTTTTAAAAAAATTTTTTACTTAGCTTTTGTATATTTTAAATTTTTTTTTAAATTTTTTATCTATTATTTTTGTTTTATGTGTTTGTATGTATTACCTGCATGTAGGTAAGTGCACCCATGTCATGCAATGCCCGCGGAGCTCAGAAGAGGCTGTCAGATCCCCTGAGACTGGAGTTACAGACAGTTGTTAGCTGCCATGTGGGTGCTGGGATTCGAACCTGGGTCTTCTACAAGAACAACCAGTGTTCTTAACCACTGAGCCATCTCTCCAGCCCCTAGAACTGATCTTCTTAAAGGGAGGAACTCTACATAGGCTGACCAGACCTCAGTGGATGAACTTGCACTGAAGGACATCTGGGGACACTACCTTAACATGATAGGCCTTAACACAAATGACAGAATGTATGAATTCCAGTGGGGGGGGGGCTATGGGTAGGTGCCAATGGGGAAGGGGTATAAAGGTGATTAAGCTGTTCCATGTGAAATACACAAAAATTTAATAAAAAATTAAAGATTAAAAAAAAGAGAAAGAAATATGAGCAGGGGGCTAGAGGGATGGCTCAGCAGTTATTAGCACAGGCTGCTCTTGCAGAGGACCTTGATTCAGTTCCCAGCACCCACATGATGGCTAACAACCATCAACAAGTTCAGTTCCAGGCAATCGACCACCCTCTGGCCTCCTCAGGCATTGCACACACATGATGTACAAACATACATACAGACAAAATATACATATTAAAATAAAAATAGACAAATTTTTAATTTTTCCTATTTATTTCATTTTATGCATATGTGTGTTTTGTCTGCATGCATGTAAAGGCACCCATGTCTTGCAATGCCTGAAGGCCAAACAGGATGTCAGATCCCCTGCACTGCAGGTAAGGATGGTGTAAGCTGCCATGCAGATGCTGGGTCCTGAACCTCTGAAAGAGCAGCCAGTGCTTTTAACTGCTGAACCATCTCTCCAGGCCCCTTTAAAAAATTTTTTTAAGGAATATGAGAAAACTTTTGTAACAGATAAAATAGAAAATATAAGCCTATAGAAAACATAAAACAAAAACAAATTTAAGGGACTCGAATTCTAGCACAGTTGACTGATACCAGCATTACCTGGATGATCCCAATCCACAGAATAGAGACAAATTAAGGGTTTTTTAAAAATTATGATTAGTTTTGGCTAGAGAAATGGCTCAGCAGTTAAGAGCACTGGTTGCTCTTGCAGAGGACCAGGGTTCAATTCCCAATACCCATATGGCAGCTGACAACCACCAAATTAAATGGTAGTTCCATTATTTATTTCACCTTCTGTGATTCTGGTTATCAAATCCAGGGCCTTGAATTATATGTTAGGCAAGTGCACTAAAAAAAAAAAAAGTGTACTAAAAAAAACCTGTGGGGCGAGAGAGATGGCTCAGCAGTTAAGAGCACCAGCTGTTCCTGCAAGAAGACCCAAGTTCAATTCCCAGCACCCACATGGTGGCTAACAACCATCCATAACTCCAGTTCCAGGGGAATCCATTGACCTCTTCTGATTCCACCAGCACTGCTTGATATGGGTGCACTTATATACATGCAGCCAATACATTCATACACATAAAATTAAAATTTTTTTTAAGAAAAGGAGCTGGGGCTGGAGAGATGGCTCAGTGGTTAAGAGCACTGACTGCTCTTGCAGGGGACCTGGGTTCAATTCCCAGCACCCACATGGTGACTATGAACTGTCCTTAACTCCAGTTCCAGGGGAATCCAAAGCTCTTTTCTGACCTCTGAGACATTGCACAACACGGGTGCACTCACATACATGCAGACAATATACTCGTACACATAAAATAAAAATAATAAATAAAATAAAATAAAATTTTAAAAAAGGAGCTAGCCAGGTGTGGTGGCACGTGCCTTTAATCCCAGTACTCGGGAGGCAGAGGCAGGCAGATCTCTATGAGTTCAAGGCCAGCCTGGTCGCCACAGTGAATCCAGACCAGCTGCGGCTACAGGGAGACCCTGTCTCAAAAAGACCAAAAAAAAAAAAAAAAAGGAGCTATGCCAGGTGTGGTGGTGCATACCTTTAATCCCAGCACTTAGGAGGCAGAGGCAGGCAGATCTCTGTGAGTTCAAGACCAGCCTGGTCTACAAAGCGAGTTTCACCAGCTAGGGCGACAGAGAGACCCTGTCTCAAAAAAAAAAAATGGAGCTACACCCTCAACCAAGTCTCTCTCTGTCCCTCTGTCTCTGTCTCTCTCTCTCATACACACACACACACTACACCCTCAACCAAGTCTCTCTGTCTCTCTGTCTCTGTCTCTGTCTCTGTCATACACACACACACTACACCCTCAACCAAGTCTCTCTCTGTCTCTCTGTCTCTGTCTCTGTCTCTCTCATATACATACACACACACACACACAATTTTTTTGGTCATTTTTGAGACAGAGTCTCCCTGTAGCCCCAGCTGGCTTGGATGGAACTCGCAATGTAAAGCAGGCTGGCCTTGAACTCACAGAGATCCACCAGCAAGGGTTACATAGAGACCCCATCTCAAAAGCAAACAACAGCAACGACAAAATTTGTCAACCAGGATTGGAGAGATAGCTCAGCATTTAAAAGCACTATCGAAGAAGGAGACTTAGGAGACTTCAAAGCATGATAAACACAGGGCATGAGATGTCTATCTTTGAAAGCAAGAGAAATAAATTAAACCCCTGAAAATATTCCACTGAAATAGACCTTACAATCCATATCTTAAAGGCTGGCTTCCTCCTTGATCTTTGAACCTTTTGCCTCTGTGCTGATTCTTTCATTCCCACCTACCTGGGTATATGGCTCCAGGCTCTTGTCCCTTCACATTACAAGGCTCTTTCCATTGCTCCAGAAATTTGACCAGGTAGGGCTTACACACTGAAAGACCTGTTTATTGGAAAATGGAAAATGTTTGCTTGGGATTTTCCCAATAACTAGTAACATTTCTACCCAACACTGTGCTTGGGGGTTGGGGGGCAGGAGGAAACACAATAGGAAATTCAAGGAAATTATTTCTCCGATTATTTCCTGATAGGCACAATAGGATACATGTGAAGAATTTTCAATTTAGAGATAAAGCTTCACTTACATATATGACTAAACCAAAGAACAAGGAGAGTTTTTAAGTTTTTAAGTTTTAAGATGGATTCCACAATGCTTCATGCTACTAAATTTCTAGTTACCACTGATCTAGAGTAAAGGAAACATACTTCCTCAAAAAAGGTGATTAGGTGATTTAAAAAGGAAATATTAGGGCTGGGGATTTAGCTCAGTGGTAGAGCACTTGCCTATCAAGCACAAGGCCCTGGGTTCGGTCCTTGGCTCCAAAAAAAAGGAAATACAATTAAAATGATCTTGTCTGTACCATCACATCCTCAAATGTTTTCCTTAAAGTAGGAATCTGAAATGCCTTCATGAAAGCAGAAGCCCCTGAGATATATTCTACAAAGGAAGGAATTAGAGGTTGACAGGAAATTCAGAATTCTATAGGAAAGATTCTCACCCAGTGCAACAAGGTTTCTGTAATTCTCCAACATCACATCCCTATACAAATTCCACCGAGCAGGGTCCAGGCATTCCCACTCCTCTGGAGAGAAATCAATGGACACATCTTTGAATGATAGTTCCTAAAATAAAAACGGATAGCACACTGACATTGTGGTATTAAACTCCAGGGATGGAGCTTTTTTGAGTCATTGTTCATGCTGAGATTAGCTTTTCAGAGATGCATCTTTCTAAGTCATCATTGCTCCTGTAAGCAATGCCGCACCCATATTCCTGTCCATAATCCTAATAAACTCACTGGTTCCCTAAGCCAAACTTAGTGAATGATGGAATTTCTTTGGTCCATCATCAGTGCTCTATTGGGATGAATAAACATTTGTTTCTATCTCCAAAGGAAAAGTCAAACAACACATAGAACCAAGAGTGAGATGGGGAGCAATTGCATACCTCTGCAACAGATGATAACTGACACTGAGGCTGATCCATGTGAATGATCAGCAATGGGGGCAATCCCAATATGGCTACCTTTTCCCTCGTGGTATAGGATCATGTGCCTCCTTACTGTTGTAGAGGTTGCATGCTTCCCACAATGGATGATAGGTTATGCAACCAAAGCCAAACTATCTCTTTGAAAAGGATCCCAGGCTACCTGTATGTGGCAAAGGACAGCATGCTACCTTGATCAACTGAATCCACCATGTGAGTGTGGGGATGCTCCAAAATGGACAATGAACTAAAGAATATATTGAAATCTCTGAAAGTCACATGTATGGGAAGGGCTGTAGCATCAGTTGTGTGGCTTTTGTTGTGCCCAATAAGAAATACAACTGAGGCGGCCAGAGAGATGCTCAGTAGTTAAAAGCACTGGCTGTTCTTGCAGAAAATCTGGGTTCAGTTTCCAGTACCCACGTGGCAGCTAACAATTGTCTGTAACTCCTGTTCCAGGGGATCCAACACCTTCTTCTCGCCTCCATGGGCACTGCAAGCACATGGTGGTACATACATGCAAGCAAAATACTTATATACATACATTTTTTAAAATTTAATTTAAAAAATGCAACTAAGGATCAACTATCTTCTCAAAGAGAACTTGCCAGTATAAGGGGGGAACTACAATAGGAAAAAAAAAAAGTATGTGGATGCTATCTGTTGCATTAGCCTCTAATTTGGCAAACAAAAATTGAAAATAGGGAAGATGACATAGAGGTATAATTGGCAGGATGCAAGGAAATGAGAGAAGAAATTAATCTAAGGAAGAACCCTGCCTACAATGGAAAAACTTGGAACCCACGACAAGAATTGGATCATGAGCAGGAAGAGAATTTGACACAAGCATAGAAAACACCCCTCAGCACCAACAGAGAACAAGAGAAGCTTGCAGTTCAGCATGCAGCAGGGGCCTTAATGATGGCCCCCAACAAGAAAGCACAGCAATAAGGGAATACCCAGTGCCCAAACTGCTTGATTGGGCAAGTGTCCCTCCCAGCCCAGGTATTCAGCTGTGGGGCAAAGGAACAGAAAGGATCAGTCTGAGCACTGTGGAAGAAGATAAATTGAGTAATTTTACTACTTGAGACAAAAGCTACATACTCTCATACAATGTGAAGAAAATCAGTTCCTGATGGACTGGCTCACACAAGCCAGTAGAGACAACTGGTTATCACCAGCTGAGATCACCATGAATATCAGGGACTAGAAAACAACAGAGGAAGGAGAAGCCTTAATGAGAGAACTGGGTTTTCAAGAGGCAGCGGTTTGTTGTTGTTGTTGTTGTTTTAATTTTATGTGTATGTGTGTATTGCCTGCATGTAGGTAAGTACACCCGTGTCATGCAATGCCCATGGAGTTCAGAAGAGGCTGTCGGATCCCCTGGGACAAGAGTTACGGACAGTTGTTAGCTGCCATGTGAGTGCCAGGATTTGAACCTGGGTCTTCTGAAAGAACAACCAGTGTTCTTAACCGCTGAGCCATCTCTCCAGCCCCGAGAGGCAGCGTTTTAATGCCCAGTTGACCTTGCCTGATCGGATTGTGTTCACAGAAGAGTTTAAAAAAAAAAAAGAGGTTGATTCAGATTCAGCAGGTACCTCAGGACTGGTATGGGTCTTTAGTGGTTTTGCTGAGCCCAATGACAGAATATGATCTTTATAAGGAGAGCTCTGGCAGATATAAATAATTTTAACTGGCATGTAAATCAGTTTGTAAAATGCAACAAAACAAACAAAAAACAAGAGAGTAAGAAAGGCAAAGCAGTTGAGGGTCTGTGTGCATCACTAGATGGCAAATATGATAAGCTTGGTGTTTAGCTAGAGTTCGTAAGGGAAAAATTAACAGAAAGCCAAATGCTGTGCTAGTGGGCTTCTCCAAACCTTTAATACCTGAATATTTTATAGAAAACATAAATGATAAAACAGTGCAGTTGAAAAAGTTTAAGGTTGACCAAAGCAGATGAGACATCATGGACACTAGGTTATCACAATTTGGAATAAGCTTTGCTAAGCACTTAATGAGGTATACTTTTCTCCCCTATAAGAAAGTACACTAGGAGGCTAGAGAGATGGCTCAGTGGTTAACAGTGGCCGCTCATGGAGAAGACCTGGGTTTGGTTCCCAGCACCCACATGGTGGTTAGTTAACAATTGTCCCTAACTCCAGTTTCAGGGGATCTGACACCCTATTCTGGTCTTCATGGGTACTGTCTGACATGGGTACACTTACATACATGTAGGGAAAACACTCATATACATAAAATAAAAATTAAAAATTTTTTGGTCTTTTTGAAACAGGATTTCCCTGTAACCCCAGGTGGCCTGAAACTCACTATGTAGACCAAGCTGGCCTTGAACTCACAGAGATTCACCTGCCTCTGCCTCCCAAGTACTGGGATTAAAGGCATGTACCACCATGCCCAGCTAAAAATAAATAATTGTTTTAAAAGGAAGCATACTAGGCATGGAGATTGTTTGCCACGCCCAGGCTTCTTTCAGCAGCTAGGCACAGCTGATGGAAAGTCAGTAGACTGCTCCAGTGGCAGGAGACCCCTTGGCCCTGAACCAAGCTGAACAGTGCAAACTGACTCCACAGAGACCATTGGGGATAGGAAGATGTACTGAAGCAGCACCTTAGGAGGAGGCCAGATGGTTCAGGGAAGAGGTCTGTGGATTATGAGGGCATGTATTATTATGTACAGCTTTTTCACAGGTTCTGAAGATCCATAGGTCATCAGGTTTGCATGGAAAGTTAGTGACCCATCTTCCCAGCACCCGATATGAAATTGCTAGTGATATTTTATGATATATGACATCTTCCAATCTCTATCTTAAGCTTCCACTACATCTCAATTCAGAACAACCACATTCCAGCTTTGAAAGCAATGGTTCCTCAAAACTCAGGAAGTGAAGGGCTTGAATGCTCCCCTTTCATTCCCGAGGTAAGGGAATACCTTTCCCTAACAACATTTCTTGTCATTCACAAAAAGGAGACAGACAACACCCTAAGAGAGAACAGAAAGCTCCTACCACAAAGTAGCTTAAGCTAAACTACCACTTCCTGGCTACTGCTGGGTAGAAGCCAATGCCTATTTCACAGATCAGACAACAAAGGAAGACGGCACCCACAGGAGAGAACACCACGTGCTTGATTGTGTGCATAGCCTTGAACTCTAGATTAAAGGAAAACTTCTAATTTTGCATCTTGGTCTTGGATCTATGGTCAGAGTGGATTCCTTTTTCTCTTGTGCTATAGGGTACGGTCCAAGTTTAAGCATCAATCACAATCATACATGTACATAGCTCAAGTTGTATAAGAAATACAACTTTAAACTTGACATTTCAGAGAATTCTGGTATCTTCCAATAATGGGTAGATTAGCTCTATAGCACCCCAAAATTTATTAGCTATATTCTTTGATAATCAGCAATACAGGCAGGGCTTGGCTGGAATCCTTCAGGTTTTTACTGTTAGATGATGAGAAGCTGGCTGCAAACTGGAGCACCTTGGTTCTCCTCTCCATGGGGTCTCATACTCCAGTAAGCTAATGTGGGCTTGTTCTCAATAAGAAAGCAGGGCTCTGAAAGACAAAGCAAAAGCAATGAAAACTTTTCAAGTCAATATACATTCATAGCCACAGCATTACATGAATCACAGGGAAAAAAAATTTTAAAAGGCCGTCACAGAGCCAAGGTGAAGGGAATGATTGTTTTTCAGTATTTTTTTATTTTACTTTCTGTGTATGAGTGTATTGCCTGCATGTATGTAAGCGCACTGATGACATGCAGTGCCCAAGGAGGTCAGAAAAGGGCATCAGATTCCCTAGAACTAGAGTTACAGATGGTTATTAGCTACCACGTGGGTGCTAAGAATCAAACCTGGGTCTTCTGCAAGAGCAGCCAGTGTTCTTAACTGCTGAGCCATTTCTCCAGCCCAGGGGAATGATTTTTACCATTCAATGAGAGCAGCAAGAAAACACATTGCCAAGGTCATGGGTAGAGGGAAGGATGTAGTATTGCTGGCATTTTGGCACTCAGTATCATTCTATTTCTTCTTAACAAATTAGGTATGCTAGACAGCTTTAGTTATCAACTTGACACATCTCGGAAGGGGGAACCTCAATTGAGGAATTACCTCCACTGGGTTGGCCTGTGGCCATGTCTATGGTACATTTTCTTGAGTGATGTGGGAGGGCCCAGCCCACTGTGCCATCCCTGGGCAGGTGATCCTGTGCTATATAAGAAAGCAGGCTGAGCACAGGCCAGGGGAGCAAGCCAGTAAGCAGAGTTCCTCCATGGTCTATGCTCCAAGTTCCTGCCCTGAGTTCCTGCCTTGGCTTCCCTTGATGATGGACTGTGTTGTAAGTCAAATAAACCCTTTCCTCTCCAAGTTGGATTTGGTCAGTGTTTTTATCACACCAACAGAAAGTAACTAAAACATGAGGTTTACATAGCTATCCAAATTCCCAGAACTATTAATCTGTTGAGCTAGAACACAGGATCAATTCAGCCTGAACACCTCCACTGGACCATCAGACTCCAGCAACTTCTTACATACTTAGAACAGCATTTGTGTCCACCTATTACTGTTCACCAACCTACTGAGAGAGTGCTCCTGAGACATCTGTGAGGAATGGAATAATACAAGAAATGGCTGAGGACTGAATTTAGGAAATAAATGATCAACAATATCCTTTTCACTTCTCATCATAAGAGAGTCTTAAAAATATACATAATGAACCCACGAGCCTGTGTCTGCCCAGCCTGAGGCAGAATTCTTCTCCCTCATCTTATTTAAAGACTACTTTGTTCCAAAGGAAACAGATACACCAATATACCAGTATCAATGTTACAATTCCTTATAAATATCTGTGAATACAAAGAGAACAAGGAAGGTAATAATACACAGAATTAAACAGAAAATTCACCTGCTGAAAAGACATGAGGAAATCCCATATATGAAACTGGTACACACACACTTCACAACTCTTCTGGTGGGATCTTGGTGGCATTCACTCAATGGTAAATATGCTTTTCTTACACATGGCCCAACTGAATGACATGTACATTAAGCACAAGATCCTTCAGTGGCAGACATGAAACATGAATCCACACAGCATACTTCCTAGGCTCAAGTGATCTACAGACTTGAGTCTTGCCCCACCAAGATGCTGGACTCAACCATATCACTTACAGAGATTCTGGAACTTGCATTTGTACCACATGAAACACACCCCAGACTTCTGTCACCACCAGCTTCTGAAGAAGCAATCATTCAAAGCATAATCACTGTTGCCATTTCTCCATCCCTAGATGTAAGGACCTCATGCTGAAGTTGCCACCCTGATGACACAAATCCCAGGGCAGTTCCCTCAACTGTCTTAGGGCCAAGTGATAGGACACCCATTCAATATCACAAACCCCAGATTTCCTCCTTCTTCCTACCAACTTCAGGGGCACAGAATCCAACACCAGGCTACAGATTGCTCCAGAGAAGGCCAAGGTGTCAAGAATTTCTAAGAAGATGGTAGAATGAATAGAGCTGCATGTGCACCAAAGAAAATTGGTAAAGCCTCTGTTTCTGATGCCAACGATGCCACTGGAAAAGTAACTACATTTCCCACAAAACTCCATACTCCTCCATTCGAAACCAAGGAAGTTTCATTAATTCTCCCTGCTAGAAAACCAGGTTCTTCATGGATCAAGAAAAGTCTACATCAAGGGGCTGGAGGGACAGCTCAGCAGTTAAGAGCACTTACTGCTCTTGTAGGGGACACAGTTCAGTTCCCAGTATTTCTTCATCAGGGTTTTGTTGGGGGGGGTTGGCATTAATGTTTTGATCTTTGATTTGTTTGTTTGGAGACAGGGTCTCCCTGTAGCCCAAGTTGGCCTGGAACTTGTTATGTAGAGCAGACTGGCCTCTACCTCACAGAGATCCACCTCTCTCTGCTTCCCAAGTGCTGGGATTAAAGGTGTGCACCACCACACCCAGCTAGTACAGCCATTTTTAAAACAGCATTAAGGTTCTTTAATAAAAATTGACTGACCATATGGCACAGCAATCACAATCTGGGTATTTAAAAAAAATACCAACTAGAGGCTAGACAGATGGCTCTGTGGTTAAGAGCACTGGCTGCTAATGCAGAGGACCCAAGTTCAATTCCCAGCACCCACATGGTGGCTAACCGTCTGTAACACCAGTTCCAGGGGCTCCAACGCCCTCTTCTGACCTCCACAGGCACTGCATGACATGGGTGCACTTATGGACACTGCATGACATGGGTGCACTTATACACACATTCAGGCAATACACTTATACACATAAAATAAAAATAACTTTTTAAAATACCAACTAGTGGAGGGAAAAAAATGCAAAACACCGCGTCAGTTTGGAATGAACAAAGGAACAGTGCTGTGCAGAGAAAGCTGGCGTGGGAAAAGGTGTAGGGAACAGTACTCTTAGGAATGCACTGCTGTGCGGACACGGTCCTACGAGGACGATCCCGCGAATTCGGAGCTCAGGAAACCTGTGGCTCTATGGAGGAAGGAAGCGCGGGGACCCCAGCCCACCGCTGCTCTCGAGCAGGATCCGCACGCAAGGAGTCGGTTGTGACCCGGATCGCGCCAAAGACACATCTCGCACCGGCGTCTGTCCGCCAGCCCTGTTCCCTCGTGCGGGGGAAGGGTGGACCTGGGACGGCGTCCGTTTCCACACGGCTACCGTTACTCGGACTCCTGGTGCCTACTCACCATGTCCGGGTTGCCAGGTGACCGGGTAGCTTGGGTTCCGGGATTTACGGGTTCCAGATACCCCAGTTCCGGGATGACCAGGTTCCGAGTGTCCCGGCGTCCTCCCTGCCACTCTCCCAGCACTGGTGACTCACAGAGTGACAGCCCGCGGCGAACCCAGAACTCCTAAGAGGAGACAAACGCCACCAAGGCGGCGCCCACACAAAGCCCTCCACTCCTGAGCCCGGCCCCCTTCTGTGCGCCTCATTGGACATTTCCCAGGCCCCGCCCCCTTAGCCCTTGAGTGACAGAGTTAAACTATCAACCCAAAACTGAATCAGAACAAGATGCCAGGTCCAGGCTACACTTGTTTTAAAGCAAGGCCGCCTGCTTGTTTGAGCCACGTGGGACACATTTTCACTTAATATATTGAGTATCAGCAAGCCACAAAGAAAGATAGGAGAAATTAAGGGAGAATGGGAAAGGGTAGGAGCCCCTCATCTGGTTGAATGCTTGCGTCCAGCACAATGAATGAAATTTGCTAAATTGCCTGCATAGAGACAATACACTTTTACATTAAAATATTTCAGGACAGTATGGTGACGCACGCCTTTAATCCCAGCACTCAAGAGGCAGAGACAGGCAGATTTCTGTAAGTTCAAAACTAGTCTGATCTACATATCGATTTCCAGGCCAGTCAGGGCTACATAGAGAGAATAAAAATAATAATAATAATAAAATAATGATGATAATGAAAGATATTTCAAATAAGAATGTGAAAATGCAGTGACCCACGCTTAAGATCTAAGCATATAAAACCTTTTAGTACGGCCTTATAGTTTTCCAGATATAAACCTCCAATTTTCTGGGAATTGTGCAAACAAGACTATAAACTTCATTTACAGAAAGAAAAAAACATTTTTAAGTGTTTTAACTCTCTTATGCAATCTCTGTGACCTACAGTTAGACCTTCACAATGGTAATCAAATCCAATGTACCTCAGGAATCACGCTATGATCTCATTTACCAAAAACGGTGGAGAAAAGTTCCTTAGCAACTGTCTGGGATAGAATTTCCTGAGTCAACCAAACAGACTCTCTTCTTGAAAACGTCACACCCACACTTGGGTATGTACTATCCTGTTCCTAAATGCCTCTCTTTCTACTTAAGCCTATGCTTAAATCTATGTTCAATCTACCTTAAAATCTTATTAAACTGCAACTCTGCCTCATACTGCCTCATTCTGAAATTCTTTTCCACAGAAGTGAAAATCACAGCTTCATCTGAGGCTGCTACAGGTGACAGGGTGATGCCATCCACCTTGTCTTTTGAGACAGGATCTCACACTGGCCTGGAGCTTGTCAAGTAGCCTAGGCTGGCTGTCAGTGATCCAGGGATCCACATGTCTCCACCTCTGCAGCACTGGGATTACAAGTTTGGCTTATGACTCCCAGCTTTTTCACATGGGTGCTGGAGGTCAAACTCGGGTCCTCAATTCTTCTGAGTTCTCTCCCCAGCCACTGACTTTGCCTCTTAGTCAAGTGTTTCCTCATAGAAAATTTAACTGTACATAAACTAAAGTCAATAGTGTAGTAGACCTGCTACTCAGTTTCAACAACTAACAATCATGTTCGATTTTATTCCTTTAGCACATCAAGCCATTTCCCCACATTTAGTTGTTTCAACTTTCAGACATTAAAAAAATACCCTAACAAAACATTAAAATGTGTTAGGAAAAGTTATTCTTAGTATAAATAATGTATCATGCCAATGAATTTTACAACCAAATTCTTTTTTGTCTTTTGAGACAGGTCTCCCTGTAGCCCCAGCTGTCCTAGAACTCACTATATAAACCAGACTGGCCTCAATCTCACAGAGATCCATCTGCTTCTGACACCTGAGTGCTGGGACCAAAGGTGTGTGCCACCATGCCAGGCTCACAATCAAATTTTTTTTCTTTCTTTTTTTTTTTTTTCTTTTTTGAGACAGGGTCTCTCTGTAACCCCAGCTGGCCTGAAACTCGCTATGTAGACCAGGATGGCCTTGAACCCACAGAGATCTGCCTGCCTCTGCCTCTTAAGTGCTAGGATTAAAGGTGCACACCACCACGCCCAGATACAATCAAATTCTTTTTTTTTTCCAGTCAGTCTTGTTTTATTGCCAACTGAAGGGACCTCAGGCCTTGACCACATACTTGCATAGCGGGAACAGCCAATGGCTCCTTCCCCTGCTGCTTCTTGGTCTTCATCTTTTCCTCTGGTCTTCTTGGGCCACAGGTCCAGGGGCTTGTACTTCTTCCCCTTTTAGAATTTTCTGAGGTTTTCTTTCTGAGTCTGGTTAATGACGGTGAGGATACAGGCGATAGATTTTCAGAAAATCAGATCTTGGAGAGTTTGGAGGCGGTGCCGCCTGTCATTTTAGCGATGTTCAACAGACTTTAGGCACTGGAGTGCCTGGCCTCTTCAACACTAGTAGAGGAGAGAAATGCAGGGGAACCTCACTCTCTACTGCTCCCAGGCTGTCTGCTTCCAGAGTCCTGGAGCACTCATACATAAATGTGCATTAATGTGAACACATATAACATTATACATGCATACCTTGGAGAATGAGAACTCACGCCTGGGCACAGTAGCATATGTGCACTAGTATATGCACACATGCAATTATGTCAAAGCATGCATGAAGACACATGTGGACACACACATGCATCTTTCACATTTACTTTCATGAAGTAATGGAATATAGATAGCAGAGTGATGATTTTTAAATTTTATTTATTTTTATTTTATGTATATGAGTGAAATGCCTATATATATATATATATATATATATATATATTTGTGTCATGCAATGCCCGAATAGGACAGAAGAAGCTGTCGATCCCCTGGACTGGAGTTACAGACAGTTGTTAGTTTGCCACGTGGGTGCTGGGATTTGAACCTGGGTCTTCTGCAAGAACAGCCAGTGCTCTTAACCGCTGAGGCATCTCTCCAGCCCCTATTTATTTTTATTTTTTATGTGTATGAGTATTTTGCCTCTATGCATGTAAGTGCACCATGTGTGTGTAATGCCTGTGGAGGCAGAAGGTATCAGGTTCCCTGGAACTGGAGTTAGGGATGGTTGTTAGCTGACATGTAGGTGCTAGGAACTGAACCTAGGTCCTCTGCAAGGGCAGTGAGTGGTCTTAACCGCTGGGCCATCTCTCCAGCCCTGAGAATGATAATTTTTACAAGATGTTGCAGATTGAATGTGGCATGTCCCCCACAAGCTCATGTTTTGAATGATTAGTACCTAGCTTGTGGTGCTATTTTGGAACTGAGTGGAAATTTTACTAGTAGAGCCTAGCTGGAGGAAGTAGGGCACCAAGGGTGAGACTTGGTATATTATCCATGGCCTCTTTCTGTCTGCCTCTTTCTGTTTCCTGACCTTTTATGATGTGAACTGAGCCTCTTTACCATGGCTTCCACACAATGATGACCTGAGCTGTTTGAAACTATTAGCCAAAATCTTTATTCCTATAAGATGTCTATGTCAAGTAATTTGGCCATGATGATATAAAAGGAACTAATGCAGGTTTCCCACGGGAGAGGGCAGCTTCCCTCCAGGCCGCCATGGCAACCAGGAAAGCAGCACTCGGCTGGAGCTGGAGACTGCCGCACCAAATGCCAGTGGAAGCCACCCGAGCTCTTCAAGCATCTGTGGACCAAGTTCATCTCCAGTGATCCTTGGGGAGTCGAAGCTAGAGCAGCACTTGAAGAAGAAAGCCCTGTGGCAGGGAACCAGTCCCCCACAGGCCCAGCTAACCGAAGTGCACAAGCATTCAACTGCTGCCATGAACCCAGGGAACCTCAAGTCAAAATTCTTCTAAGAATTTAATCTAATTATGGTGAAGTTGAAACTGCAGATGATTGCAGAAGCCTACGCTACCAAAGATGGAGGGCTGGTGGAGGAGAGTGTTGAAGAGGACTTTGCCTTTATGCATTTATAGCATGATTCCTCAAAGATCTCACAAGTCAACAGCCATCTGGATGATAATGGCAGCACAGTTGCTGCTGCTGCTCCTGCTGGAACAACTTGAGTGAGTCGGGGGCCTTCATGGACTTCTACAGCATGGCCAGGGCAGCCTTGCGCCAAGCAGCACTGCTCAAACAGCTGAGAAATGAGTGGGGATCTGTGCCCTCTATCCAGAGGATTATATCTGAAATATTTTAGCCAGAGGAGCAAAATTGTAGCCAGTCAAATAAAGCACATATGTTCCAGGGGATCCAATGCCCTTTTATGACCTCCGCAGGCATTACAGAACATGAGTGTACTTTTATATATGCAGATAAAAACAATGAGAGCCTGAGAACTTAAGGAAAGAAAGAGAACTAGAACTTCAGTCCCCTCCTGTGAGCTGAAGTCATGGTCCCTTCTCATGTTCTGGAGCTGTGGTCCTCTCCTGTGGGTTAGAGTCCTGGTCCTCTCCTATGAGCTGGAGTTGTGGTTCCCCTCCTGTGAGCTAAAGCTTTGGTCCTCTCCTGTGAACTGGAGCTCTGGTTCCCCTCCAATGACCTGGAGCTATAGCCCAGTCCTGTGAGAGGTAACTGTGGTACCCTAATAATAATACGGACTCCCAGTCCCAGAAGGGATGATGGGAATTAACTGTGCTGGATGCATGTTTCAACTGTCACCAGAGAAGTTTCCTTATCCAGCAGATGGTGATTGACACAGAAACTTATGACTTTCTAATGTGCGGGGAGGAAGGGGCTTCTGGGGGGCACTTATCTCTGGGTGGCAATGCCTGTCAGGCTTCGGGAGCTCAGGACTTGGGAATCATTGCAGAGGAGGTGGAGGTGTGGGACAGAGTTCTCCAGACAGCTGGCCAGTTACTCACATGAACTCACAGCAATGTTGATAGCATGCACACATCCTATGCAAGCTTGAGTGGATGAACACACACTGGAGAACATTTGGGAATTCAAGTTAGACTCTATAGGCTTTTTTTCACCCAGACAGAGAGAATACATTGAATGGGGGCGGGGGAGGGATGCAGGGAGCTGTGGATGAGAGAGGGGATATAAATGTCATCAAATTATATTGTCTGGAAATTGCAAAAATTCAATAAAAATGTTATAAAAAATAAAAATAAAAAATTTTAATTTTAAAAAAAGGAATAAAGAAAACTGGTACTGGAGAAGTATTGCTATGAGTAAGCCTGACTGTGAAGTACTTAGGCCTTTGGAACTAGTTTGTAGAAGGAATTTGTAAGAATTTGGAGATGTGGTTTAGAGAGGTCCTAGAATGTTATAAGAAGAGCTTAATAGAGAACTTTGGTAAGGTCTCAAAAGACCAGGATATCTGTAGTAAAGACTACTTATGAGATTTCAAACAGGAACCAGGAGTCTACCGGGAATTGGACCAGGGGCCATGTTAAATATCTGCAAAGATGTATCTATACATCTTTTCATGCTTGAAACTTTGTGAGAGGTTGAGTTTAAAGGTGATGGACTAACTTATTTAGCAGAGGAAAATTCAAGGCAGCATAGCCATTCAAATTTGGCGTGGTTATGGTTGACTACCTTTATGGCTAGGTAGACAGTAAAAATTGGGAGGGAAAAGCAGAATGACTTGAAAAACAAGGTGACTGGTCAGAAAATGTGCAAATTAAAAGTCCTGGACATGGAGGGTTAATTAAGGGACTTGGTGCCCATTAAAGAGAATCCAAGTACTTTTCATGGGAAAATAGGAAATTGGCCACACTCCATCCATCTCAGGCTCCAGGATATAAAACTGTACACTCATTTGTATGACTTCCCCTTCAGAAGAGAGTGCCACTAGGGTACCCTACAGGACCACCTAGAGAAGTGTTTTCCTGGGCTCAGCTTCTCAGACACTTAGAAGTTACTGTAGCACTAAGGGGGGTGCTCTACTGCTCCAGCTGGTAGTTGACGAAGTCATAATCTGCATGGTGCTGCTTTTGTAGGCATGCAGAATGCAAGGTTTCAGGGTCACTGAGGCTTGAACCAAGGGAGATATGGGAAGCCAGGCAATGTCTAACAGGGTCAAACTGACTATGGAAGAGGGCAGTGAGTGAAGCTGTAAAAGTGAAGTTAAAGCAGGGTGTCGTGACACAGGCCTTTAATCCCAGTACCTGGGAGGCAGAGGCAGGTGGATCTCTGTGAGTTCAGACAGGCCTGATCTAAAATGGCAAGTTCCAGGCCAGCCAGGGTTACATAGTGAGACCTTGTCACAAAGAACAGTGAAGCTAAAACCTCAAAGCATCAGTGCTAGAGGCTCCAGGAACATGGACTGTTTCCTAAGCAAAAGTACAGGTAATAAGGCCAGGCATGGTGGTGCATGCCTTTAATCCCAGCACTCAGGAGGCAGAGGCAGGCAGATCTCTGTGAGTTCAAGGCCAGCCTGATCTACATAGTGAGTTCCAGGACAGCTGGGGCTACAGGGAGCCCTGTCTCAAAAAAGACAAAAAAAAAAAGTACAGGTAATGAAAGGAGTCAGCCCAACAGAGAGAGACCATGTGGGAAGGCTACAGAGGTGGGACTGCCCAAGCCCTCTGGAGCTCAAACAAATCCAGCATGTGTCCTAGATGCTGAAGACTTGGCTGTGGAATTTGATGCTTGCCCATTAAATCCCATTTCAGTTTCAGTCTTGCATTTCAATCTTTGACCCCATCCTTCCTTTCTATGTTTCTACTCTTCTCTTTTGGAAAGTATATATTTACTCTGTGGTATTTTATCTTGGCTATATGTAACTTGCTTTTTTATTTTACAGGTGTTTACAGCTAAGAATTTGTTTTCAGATTCAGAAGAGACTCTGGACTTAGACTTTTGGAAAATGTGAGAACTGCTAAGACTTTGGGGACTCTTGGAATGGAGTAAATGCATTTTGTGTGGAGTAAATGCATTTTGTATTATGAGATGTCCATAAGCCTTTTGGGAGCATAGGCAGAACACTGTAGACTGAATATGACATTTTCTCTATAGGGTCATGTTTCAATGTTTGGTCCTGGTTGGTGACGTCATTTTGGGAGTTTGGGAAAGTTTTAGGAGGAGGAGCATAGCTGGAGGAAGTAAGTTACTGGGACTATATCTTAGCCACATTCTGCCTTGCTCTGTTTCCTAACTCACCATGGTGTGAACTGAGCTGTTCTGCCATTCCATCCCCACCATGATAGACTGGAGCCACCAGAAACCATGAGCTAAATACTTTTCCTCTGTGTTATTTATACAAGGTCATTTGCTAAAAGTGATGGAAAAATATGCCGGGTGTGGTAGTGCATACCTTTAATCCCAGCACTCAGGAGGCAGAGGCAGGCAGATCTCTGAGTTCAAGGTCAGCCTGGTTTACATAGTGAGTTCCAAGTCAGCTGGGGCTACAAGGGAGACCCTATCTCAAAAAAGACTCCCCCCCCCAAAAAAAAAGTGTGATGGAAGAATAATTACCACACAGCCTGGATTTTATTGATTTTATGTATGGTATTAACAGTGATTACAATTTTACAAACACTACATTAAAATAAAAGAATGGCATTATAAAAGTATTTCAGTAATGTCACTCACAGCCATGTTGAAAAGCAAAAATAAACTGTTTGAAAAACAATTATCTAAATAAACTATCCATGTTTATAACTAATATACTATCACTGCATTTATTTATTGAACAGATAGTATCCACTATGTGTCAGGAATTGTTCTAAGCCTAGGAATAGATAACTACATGATCAGAACAAAGATTACAAACACTGCATTAAGGTGAAAGAATGACAATATAAAAGTATTTCAGCAATGTTGAAAAGTAATAATAAACTATATTGTTGGAAAGCCAATTATCTAAACTATTCATGCATACAATACAAGTAATATGCTATCATTGCATTTATTTAACTAATGTATCTACAGTGTGTCAGGAATTGCCTGTCCTGAGCCTAGGAATAAATACAGAACAAAGATGCCTGTTCTTAAACAGTTTCCACTACAATATCATGTGTTGTACTTTTTCCTCACCCACGTGTAAGATGACTTAACAGCATCTATGAAGCTAATTGTGAATTTATTTCTTTCTCATTATTTTTCACATAAAACTTTTCCATAAAGATATTATAAGCAGAAATTATAAAGTGTTTGAGGCTATACAGTGATAGACTTAAAAATGCTACATTTAAAATAGATGCAGTAATAAAATTTCTAGAATTGTACTTTATTCTTTTAAGAATTGAGAATTCTGTATTAATCCTGATGTAGTTGGAGTAAACAGAGGCAAAGGCCTTCAAAGGTTGCATTGTAATAGAATGAGTCACGGTGAAGGTCAACCACATTCAAATAGACAACTAATGAAAAGCATATGAAATACAAAAAAGCATTCAGTATATAAAATCAGAAGGAAGCTTTCAAAACAACAAAAAATACCTTGTATTGTGTGAACTGTATAATTTTGATATCTTTGACTTGAACATATAACCAAAATCTTCCAGGTTTAATGTTATTGCCCAAATGCTACTTGTGGCTATTCATCATACTCTGTCATTATCCAGCTTTTGAATCTTTCATTTTATAATTTTACAAGTCTGACATCAACATATAGGAGCAAAACACAACTTTACTGTAATGAAAATTATCAAGGAATTATTATCAATAGAATTTGATAAGGAAACTGACTACTTTAAATTTTTATTTTGATTTATTTAATTTTATGTGTATAAGTGCTTTGCCCGCTTGTATATAAGTGTACTACATACATACAATGTCCATAGTGGCCAGGCATTGGATCCCTAGAACAGGAGTTACAGGCTGTTGTGAGCTGCCATGTGGATGGTGGAACCCAACCTTGGGTTCTCTGCAAAAGCAGAAAGTGCTCTTAACTGCTGAGCCATCTCTCCAGCCCCTATAATTACCTTTTTATAACAATATTTTGTGTTGATGAGCCCTCAAGAAAGATTCAGTACAGTCAAACATGGTGGCTCACACTTGTAATCCCAGCACTCGGGTAGCAGAGACAAGAGGATTCTTGTGAGTTTAAGGACAACCTGGTCTATATAGCAAATTTCTATACTCAGAAGGTACCTGCACAGTAGCCTGTACTCGAAAAGATTCATGAAACCAAGAAAGCAGAGTGTGGCTCAAGAAAAACTTATTTAAAATCCTCAGGGCTCCACAAGGAAAATGGAGGTGCTTCAAAAGGGATCAAGAGCACTACTCTTGTACCAGCTAAGGCTACATCGTGAGACCCTGTCTAAATAAAATAAAATAAAATAAAATAAAACAAAATAAAATAAAAGAGCCAGGTGTGGTGGCGCATGCCTGAAGTCCCAGCACTCGGGAGGCAGAGGCAGGCGGATCTCTGTGAGTTCAAGGCCAGCCTGGTCTACATAGTGAGTTCCAGGACAGCTGGGGCTACAGGGAGACCCTGTCTCAAAAAGACAAAAAAAAAAAAGGCAAACAGAAACTAAAGAGATAGCTCACCACTTAGGAGCACTGGCTGCTTTTGCAGAGGACCCAGATTCACTTCCCAGCACCCACATGGTGGCTCAAACTGCCTGTAACTCCAGCTTCAGGGAATCTGATGCTCTTTTCTTGTGTCCACAGACTCCTGCACACACGTGGTACACATAAACTCATGAAGGCGTCTGCGTATGCATGCATGCAAACCATAACTCTTAAAACAAAAAACATACAGGAAAGAGTCCAAGGGGACAGGAATTATAAAAGTCAGGACTGAAATCAAAGGTGCAACTCTGATAAAGGAATTTCCTCTACCTAACTACCTATGTTCACACTATGCTACATAATTCTTTCATTATTTGATTAATACAATACTTACTGGGTACTACTGAATGCTAGTTACAGATATGCAAGATATGTAAGGTCTCTTCCAAGTATTTGACATTCTAGTTAAAAATGATATGCACTAAATAATCTTTCAAAAATTAGAACTTAACCAGAGTTAAGTGCGATGAAGACAATCTCACGGGTTGATGAACAGAGGTGACAGGGCTCTACAACATAGGCTGGTAAGAAAAGACTATTTCTTACGCTCTTTCTCTTTCTTTACATTGGTACACGCCTGAGTCTGTGATGTCTCAGAGGCAGCCTTTGTTTTATAAAAATCTATGATTTCCTCTTCCAATTTTCTTCTCTCTTCTTCAAGTTTCAGTATCTCCTCTTGTTGAATTCTTTTAAGGTGCTCAAACTTGTCCTGCAGCTGTAAAACAAAGTAACCCTATACTCAAAAAGATTCACGAAATCAAGAAAGCAGAGTGTGACCCAAGAGAAGCTTATTTTAAATCCTTGGGGTGTCACAAGGAAGACAGAGGGCTTGAAAAGGGGTCCAGGGCACCACTCCTGTACTCCTCAAAGTTGGAAGTCATTAGTAGTCATCTTTAGATCCCTTTGTAGTAGCTCAAAACTATCAAAAGATGAAATTACAAAAATCTAGCTTAATGGTATATAACTTGTATTTCTGTTTCTAGAGTTGGGCAATGGACTATTCTAGATGTGTTTTCTTTTTCTTTTTTGGGGGGGTGGTTAGGGGAGGTTGAGACAGGGTCTCAAGCTGGCTTGAAACTTGCTATGTAAACCAAACAGCCTCAATCTCACAGAGATCCATCTGCTTCTGCCTCCTGAGTGCTGGGATTAAAAGCATGTGCCACCACCATGCCTGACTACATTTTATATTGTTATATAAAATATGATGAGTGTGTCTAGGTGATGAGCAGAGGAGTTTGGTTTATAGGCAGAAGAAAGTACTTGCTGCACATATGCGAGGACATGAGTTTGAATCCTCAGAACCCACATAAAAGCCAGGTGCAGTTATGTGTACATCTGTAACCCTAGCGCTCTTGCAGGGAGATAGAAGCATAGACAAGCAGATCTCTGAAGCTCTAGGCCAACTTGCCTGGTATATGCAGTGGTGTACAATGAGAAATTCTGCCTCAAACAATGTAGAAGGTAAAGACTGGCATCCATGGTGTCCTCTGACCTCCATCTGTGTCCTGGCACATGCATGCCCTTTTTTACACACACACACACACACACACACACACACACACACACACACTCACAGAGATTAAAAATAACGATAATATATCAGAAAAAATAAAATCTTTTGGTCAAAATCTGTAGTAAGATAAAATATGATCATATGCCAGGTGTGGTGGCACACGCCTTTAATCCCAGCACTCAGGAGGCAGAGGCAGGGGGATCTCTGTAAGTTCAAGGCCAGCCTGGTCTACATAGTGAGTTCCAGGACAGCTGGGGCTAGAGGGAGACCCTGTCTCAAAAAGACCAAAAAAAAAAGATATCATCATATAATAATAAAGGAGCCAATGCATCAAGTGGATATAACCATTATACTCACCCAACATTAGAGCACCAATAAATAAATATTAACAGAACTTGAAAGATAAAGAAACAGCAATGCAATGGCAGTATGGGACTTCAATACCACCTGCTACGGTTGCCATATGTCCCCCGAAGATCATATGTTAGACACTTAATTCTCAGTAGAGCACTGTTTATGGTAGGTAGTTAAGAGGTGGTGGGCCATGCGGGCAGACCCCTCATTAATAGATTAATGTTCCGTGGGGGAGAGTTGTTCCGGGAATAGCATGATTTCAGCCCTCTCCCTATTCTCTCTTGCTCCTCTACTTTTTGCCATAGGAAAGTAAAATAAGTTGTTGCATCAGTTTTTCCTGGCGAGGCCATACAAATGATAGACAAAAGTAACAATTCCACCCAAGTCTAGCTTGGTGAAACAATGACCTTAGGGGGCTTACTTCCAGGAGCATGTGGAAGGAGTTACTTATAGGAATGTGGGTGACCACAAAACAACTGCATCGCTGAAGAGTCACCCTAGCCTGGATGACGAGTCCCCGATAGCTGCAAGCTGGAGTTCCCCACCCCTTCCAGTTAACTTTCTATCCATGATATACTCCAGCACCACCTGAGACCATGTGCAGCTGGGGCAGATTTCCATTCAACTGGAAAAGGGATGTTGGGATGAGCAGCTGGATGCTCAGATAAGAGTCTAATGACTTTCTGTACCCTTCCTTCTATAAGGGAGTGTCCACAGGCCTGTCTTGTGAGGGTCTGTTGGGGTAATCATGGCTACTCTGATTAAGATGGTAATGGCTGTGATGCTCAGAGGACAGCAGTTCACAACAGAAGCCTTCACAATATATGGGACTCCTCAGACTTCACCTTCCCAGTCTCCAGAACTTTAAGAAGTAAATATTCTTTATTTTGTTATATTTTATTTGGTCTTTTTGAGACAGGGTACTCTTGTAGCCCCAGCTGGCCTAGAATTCGCTATATAGACCAAGTTGGCCTCCAACTCACAGAGAGCCTCCTGCCTCTGCCTCCCAAGTGCTGAGATTAAAGGTTTGTGCCACCATATCCAGCTAAGAAGTAAATATTCTTTTTTTTTTTTTTTTTGTCTTTTTGAGACAAGGTCTCCCTGTAGCCCCAGCTGGCCTGGAACTCACTATGCAGACCAGGCTGGCCTCGAACTCACAGAGATCTGACTGCCTCTGCCTCCCAAGTGCTGGGATTAAAGGTGTGCACCACCATCCCTGGCTGAGAAGTAAATAGTCTTTATAAATTACTCAGTCTCCTCTATGCTCTTTCAGAGTCATGAAATGAGCTAAGACAGAAATCCACAATGTGAAATGTACCTGTTTAGTAACAGTATCCTAAAGAAGTGCCTTTGAAAATTAGTAATAAAAAGCCAAAAGAATTTAGAGAAATAGGCTAGAAAGGAATTATATGGTGATTACTGAGGCACTAAGGGAAATTCTGATGAGATCTCAGATAACAACAGTCATAGGGAAAGACTAACTTAACTGGGATTAGTCAGGGATTACTTAATTGGTCATGATAAGAATGTCAATAGAGGGGCTGGAGAGATGGTTCAGGGGTTAAGAGCACTGGCTGCTCTTGCAGAGGACCCAGGTTTGATTCCCAGCACCCACATAGCAGCTAACAACCATCTGTAACTCCAGTTCCAGGAGATCTGACGTTCTCTTCTGACCTCCTCAGGCACTACACAGTATGGGTGCACTTATATACATGCAGGCAATACACTCATGTGTATAAAATAAAAATAATATATAAAATGTTTTTTTAAAAAAGAATGCCAGTAGAAACATGTATAGCAAAGTACTTTCTGGTAAGGTCTGAGAAATGAGGAACAAGGTATTGGAACCCAGACAAAAGGCTTTCCTCATCACATAGCTGGAAACAGCTTAGCTGAACTGTTTCCGTGTCCAAGGGCTTTAGTGAACATAACATTTAAGAGCACTGGGCTCTAGGGGCTGTATGGCTTCTTTAACTGCATACAGTAAAATATGGAAGACTAGAAATTATTTAAAGATAAAATTCATAACTAAGTTTGTAACAGTAACATTTTGACAACTGCAAGCAATCGAAAGAAGTTTTTAAAAGGAGTTAAGGATATATCCAAGCAATCATCTGCTAAAGAGATTAATATACTTAGAAGCCAGTTTTATTTATCAAGACAATGGGGAAGGCCCTGAGGAATTTGAGAGGTCCTGAAGCAAGCCAGGATACTGAGCCAGCTACCCAGACAGGTGTCCCAGGGACCTCAACATTCACTACTATGCAATACATCAGAATCCTGCTCCCTGAACTGTGCTGCAGTGCCCTTTAGTAACCCAGTCAATGACAAGGGATCCCCAGTATGGCTTCATCTGATGCTCGAGAAGGTGCAAGTTATAAATCTTGGGTTTATTCATGTGGTACTAATTCTGTAGGCATGCAAAGGCAGGAGCTCTGGGACCATGGAAGTTTCCACATAGATTTCAAAGAATAGCATAGGTGGCCTGACGGCCTGAATGGATGCCTGCCACAGGATAATAGGCAGGATAATGCAGAGGAAGCCCAACAAGGTAATGGCTAATGGAGCCATGGAGATGGGGCAGCCTCCAAGACCACAAAACTGCAGGGTCCCAGCATGCACCTCTATGCTGGGAGAGCTCAGTCAGGAGAATCCAACTTAGAAGAGCGTCTGGGTGAACTGAGAGTGCAGCCCCTACCCTGTTATATCATAGATGTGGAATATGTAAAAGGCAAACTCAGAAAATGCTTCAGAAAAACAAAACAAAACAAAATTACATTCAGAGCCTACATGGTGAATAGCTTACTTTTTGAAAGATAATGCATTTCTTCACACACACACACACACACACACACACACACACACACAAAAGTCACTGATCCTTTGAAAATATTCCCCCCAGAAATAGTTCACATGCAATATATATCAAATGGGTGGTACGTGCCTCCTTTTCAGCATCTTTAAATGTCGCTTCCTTCTCCTTCACTCGCTGCATAAACGTTTGTTTCAACTCTTCTTCTTCCCTCTGACACTGATCATGGAACTCTTTTCTTTTAGCTTCATACATCTCTTGAAAACTGAATAAGAAATTTTATTCTTTACTAAAAATGATAATATATGGACAGTGAGATAGCTCAATGGGTAAGGGCACTTCCACTGAGCCTCAGGACCTGAGTTTATTCCCCAGGACCCACTTGGTGGAAAGAGAAAATTGATTCCCACAACTTGTTCTGTAATCTCCACACGTACACAATGGTATGCAAGTGCGTATGCGTGTGCTCACGTACACACACTATTAATTTAAAATTTTAAATGCTGTTCTAGTTGGCCTTCAATTGCTGTGACAAAACACTCTAACCAATACCAACTTGGGGAGGAAAAGGTTTATTCTGTTTACATTTCCCAGGTCACAGTTCATCACTGACAGAGCCCAAGTTGGGAACTCAGTGTAGGACCCTGGAGGCAGGAACTGAAGCACAGGCCACGGAGGAACGCTGCTTACTGGCTTGCTCCCCTGGCCTGTGCAAGGCCTGCTTTCTTATCTAACACAGGACCACCTGCCCAGGGATGGCACCACCCACAGTGGTCTGGGCCCTCCCACATCACTTAGTAATCAAGAAAATGCTCCACAGACATGGCCACAGGCCAGTTCAATGGAGGCAGTTCCCCAGTTGGGGCTCCTTCTACTCAGGTGTGTCAGGTTGACAACCAAAGCTATCCAGCACAAATAGTAATATAAATAAACATGTAGCTGTATATTTGTATGCTATGTACTATAAAATAACATTTAACAGTATTCTTTGTAGCAACACAGAATGGAAATTCCTATATTATGAGGTGTAAAACTTGAGGCATATTAATTATATGAATGTATATGAACGCATAGTAAATACTTATGTCAATAATTTATTTTTAATGATTTTTTATTTTATGAGCGTTTTTACCTACATGTATTATAAGTGCACCATGTGTATGCAATGTCCACAGAGGCTAAAAGAGGGTGTTAGGTCTCCTGGAACTAGAGTTACAGACAGTTGTTAGCTGCCATGTAGATGCTGGGAACTGAATCCAGGTCCTCCACAAGAGCAGTCAGTGCGCTTAACCTCTGAGTCATCTCTCTATCTCCCAATGTCAGTAATTTCTTATTCCCATACTTTATAGCATATCTTCTTATATCTTTGGGCAATACAATTTGAGGAAAACAGTATGAGACTGTTTTCAAAATAGTTCAAATAATGCCAGGTATGATGGCCAACACCTTTAATCTCAGTACTCAGGAAGCAAAGCCAGGTGGATCTCTATGAGAAGAGGCCAGCCTAGTCTACATAGTGAGTTCCAGGCCAGCTGGGACTTCAGGGAGACCCTGTCTTTAAAAAAAAAAGTTCAAATAACCAAGGCATCTTTTTTTGTTGTTGCATTTTGATTTTTTGAGGCGGGGTCTCTCAGTGACCCTGGCTGGCCTGGAATTGGCACTATGTAAACCAGGCTGGCCTTGATCTCACAGAGATCCTGAGTGTTGGGATTAAAGGCTGTGCCACCATGCCTAGTGGTTTTGAGTTTTAGTGTTTTTTCCTTGAGCTATCTTTTAAAATATCCTTCACTTAGTTTAGGGTTAGGGAGATGGCGCCATACATAAAGTGCCTATTATATAAGTGGAGTGCAGCAATGCATGCCAGTAATCACAGAACTGGGTGGGGAAGGGCAAAGGCAGAAGGATCCCTGGGGCTAGCCAGACCAGTTAAGTCTGTAAGTCTAGGTTTAGTAAGAAACCCTGTTCTAAAAAGTAAAGTGGAGAGTGATCGAGGAAGACATTCAATATCTACCTCTGGCCACACACACACACACACACACACACACACACACACACGCACACACACGGCTCAATTTTGGTTGTCTTCAGAGAACTTTAATTAGTGTAACTTCATTACATTACTATAGAACTATAAATACTTTTGCAGCCAAATAGTATCACCCTTTGATATAGTCAAATAATCTGTTCTCAAACTTTTTCACTTGAAGGACTTCACATAACTCTTTTTCGACACTTTTCCAGAAAACTCTTCTTAATATCTTTTGTCAATATATGCTAACATTTAATGGTTTCTCCCTAAACTTCTGTTTCATGTAAATACAAAAATTTAAACAAAACAATAATGTTTTCCTTGAATTCCTAGTTCAGTCATACAATATAAAGAACACTGGCATTATGTTGCTCATGCTGTCTCCATCTAAGTCTGAAGAGGATTAAAAACCTAACAATTCAGGATGGACGACTGTAGTCTCCTTCCCAGTGAGCATACCTTGTGGTTTTAAGGCCCTTCGAAATTATTGACTCACCTGTGACAGCAACCTCTGTACTTACCTCACCGGCTGATTGTCTGGGCCCACATCAGTGAAGCCTAGTTTCTGCAGTCTGTTGGACCTGTAACACTCATAGTGCTGATTGTGGGTTTGCTCCTTCAGGTCTTCCATATTGGTACAAAGAAGCAAATCCCGGAGCTTCACAAAGTCACAGTGATTTTCATTTTCCACTAGTCAGAAAAACAATGAATCCACAACATTCACTATCAATCACTGGCATTCAATAAGCATCCCTGGCTGAACGTGTGACAAACATTAAAAATAATGGATGAATAATCTGTTTAACAGGCAGAGCACTGTCTTCTGAGCACAACAGTCACTACCATCTTCACCAGAGCAGCTATGATTACTCAAAAGCGACCCCCAAGATCAGGCCTGTTGACATTTCCTCATAGTTCACAGAAGAGCTAAGGAGGATCACTTGATCCTCAACTGAGAGCTTAGCCACTCTCTCCTGTACCTTCCCGCCAGTTTTTTGTAATTCTACCAAGCTGCACATGTCTTGTGATCTCAGAAGGCGGTAGAGTATATAGAGTATGGAAAGTCAACTGTGGGGCATGGGATGGGAAGCCAGCTACACAACCATGGAGAAGTCATCATTCACACTAGGTGAAACTTTTCTGTGGTGTGGCTGTAAATAACTCCTCACCTATGCTCTGTAAGTAAGCCCAATACTCATTGATTCACCAAGCTAGGCTTGGACTTTGGTCTGTCGTTGGTGGCCTTTCTAGGGGGAGTTCACATTTGTTCACATCTCCCTGGGAAAAGTCACTGCATCACAATGTAACTGATTACTTAATATAATAATATAAGACTAGGTAAGTTAAAGATCACCAAATTTTGCTTTAAATGTACTATATAAGAATACATGGCAAATAGTAAAATAAAAAAGTTATGTTACTATTTACCATAATTTTCATTAAAGGTTGTTTAGTGTTCTACACACTACTATCAGGGTGTTCACAGACACAGTGTAATATAACTTCACTAAAATAAATAATTTTTAAAGTAAATTCTTCTAATAAAAAAGACCTTAAAATTATACAAGACTCAGTTATCAAATTATATTTATGTCCCATGTTTATGACAATAAATTGGCCAATGTCTAAAATTAGTTAATGAAATCACATAACTTACTATCCAGCTGAGAACTCCAGATCCTCCTGCCTCCACCTCCCAAGTGCTGGGATTACAAGTGTGTGCCACCACACCCGGTTTCTGTGATGTTAGGGATCAAACCCAGGGCTTTGTGTCTGGCACACTCTACCCATCCCCAGCCCTCTTATATGCCTTTCTTCCTGTCTTAGAGAATTTCCTTGATGGAGAAGCAAAGTCCTGCAGGTATTTCTGTTGATTCCTTGATTATTTGTTTGGTATAGATTTTTGCTTTGTAGTTTTTGTGAGGCTTACACAAATATCTTTCGATTAAAAAAAGTTGTTTTGAAATGACACCAACATAACATTATAATAAAAAAATAAGAATATACTAAGAAAACATTCCAGTATATTCTTTGCTCCCCATATTTTTAATTCTAACATCGTAATTTATATCTTTCTATAACAGCCTATTGGTCAATATATTAATGTAGCTTTTATATTCAATTATTTTGGTTTTGCTCTTCATGCTAAACATATGGCTTATGTACCATTATTGGGATATCAGTGCATGGAGTTCATTTGCACACTTATTGTGATCATCCAGTTACCTTCCTCTGTTTACTTCTTACTCATGAATATCTCTTTTCATTTAAAACAAAACAAAACAACCTCATTTAGCATTTAGCATTTATTATGGAGTATATTCTCACAGCTTTAGCTTTTCTGGAAATGTTTTTATTCCCCTATTTCTAAGGGATACCTTTACAGAATATAATATTTGGAGATGACTTTTTTCCCTTCAGTACTATGAAATTTTCATGAAGTTCTGCTCTGTCCTGTGAGGTTTCCACTGTGACATCTGCTGTCTGGGAACTGAGGCATTACTGTGAGTTACTTGTTCCCTTTTTCTTGCAGCTTTGAGAATCTTCTTTGAACTCACAGAGATTCTCCTGCCTCTGCTTCCCGAGTGCTGGGATTAAAGGCATATGCCACCACACCAGGCTATCTCTCACCTTTGAACTTGATCATAAGATACCTTGGGGAACTGGAGAGATGGCTCAGCGGTTAAGACCAGTAGCTCCTCTTGCAGAGGGCCTGGATTCAGTTCCCATCGCCTACATGGTTGCTCACAACCATCTGTAACTCCCATACCAGAGGCTCCAACTCCCTCTTCTGGCCTTTGCAAGCACTGCACATATAGGTGCACATAGATGCTCTCAAAAGACTCATACACATAAAGTAAAAATAAACAAACCTAAAACAATTTTTAAAGATACCTTGGTTGAGTTTGGCTCAAACCTTTGGCTTTCCTGTACATGGATATTTGTATTAGTTTTTACATTTGCAAAGATTTCTGTTGTCATTTCCCTGAATAAGCTTTCTGCCATTTTGGCACTCCCAACCCAAATGTTTGCTCTTTTAGGGCTGCCTCAAAGGAAGTTTTCCTAGGTTTTGTTCATTCTTCATTTTTTCCCTCACAGCTGCATATTGAAGGAGACTTTGAAATATTTCTAATTATTTCTCCTATTGATTTAACCTGTTACAGAAGCAACATTAATGGAAGTGGAGGTCACCATGTTCAATGAAATAAAGCAGGAAAAGAAAAATATCTTATTTTGTGATTGTACTCATATATGAATGCTAAAAAGCAATGACCTGAATGTAGATAATGTCTGCTTGATGCTAGGAAGTGGCAGAAGGGAGCCTGGATAATGGGTACCAAGATACAAACGAATAAAATAAATTCTAGCATTCTGCTGCACAGAGTCATGGCTGTAGTTCACATTAACGCTGTATGGTCATAAAAATCTAGCATAGAAGAACTCAGTCTTCAAATAATAAATTATAAGAAGAAAAGTTAATTACCTTGATTTAGTCAGTGTGCTTGATATGTATGTGTTCAATAACACACTCATTGATATGTGCAATTAGCACATGTTAATCAAAAAGAAAGCACATATAAAATTATTTAATTAGCTTAGAAAAAACCCACATAAGTCCTGTGTTTACAGGTCCAGATGACTATGATATGCCATGTACTATATATGATACAGTGGCAAAATTTTATATATCTATATTTTATGTAGATATAAAATATAGAAAGTGAAAAAGACAAGAGAAAAAAACCAAAAAATTTAAATAAAATATGCTATTTATTATATTT